AAATCAACTTCGTCAAATATGCAAATGACCTGACTGTTTCGCTTCCCGTTAAGTCTCAGTCAGACTGTTTCAAATTAAATAGCTTCCTGTCGGACATCAGTCAGTGGTCTAAACTAAATGGCCTCATGCTAAAATCCCTCAAAATGCCAGACTATTGACTTCTCCTTTAGGCATAAACGAGATCTACAAACACTCGTAAGTTCTCATGAAGCCTGTAGCATTGAGGCGACTAAAATTGAAACTAAGTCTAATGCAAAATACCTTGGTCTAGTTCTATATTCCGACCTTACTTGGACATCTCATATGCTAACGATTTCTAAGAAAGTGTTCTGTCTAACCTACTACATTAAGAAAATTAGACAATCTGGAATCACCCAACCTCTACTTTCACAATTCGTCAACTCTTGTATCTTACCTATTCTACTTTACTGCTCCCCGTAAGTCTTTCCTGGGCTACTGAAAAAGGACTATACCATCCTGAGAAGGATGTGGAAGGTAGTTAGTAGGACTAGTGGTGTAAAACTCAGTCAGCTCGTCACTACATTAGTTGAAAGGCATCTAAATACATGTGTAAAACGGTCTAAAACCATACTCCCCGACCCCCAACACCCCCTCTATTCCCAACTTTCGCCTTGTATCTCATCAGGTAGAATCAGAAATCAGTATAAAATAATCTATGCTCGTACAACCAAGTACAGGAACTCAATGATACCATACTTGGCCCGTGTTCTAAGTGACAGAGACAATGTGAAGCGCGAGGCCTATGACTTGCTTTGTTATTAACAACATAATTTTAGGCTCCTTTATTTCTCTCTTATTTTGTATTCTATAGTGAACTCCTTCTCAAACATACTTAGGTCCCTAAATTATTAACATTGCTTACTTTTTTGTACTTTACTATATTCCTTCTTTTGTGTATCTACTGGTTCCGACTCCATTAGCACTATGAGTATTACAAAATTGTCCTGTCATTAGCCATCATGTAATTATTAGCTTTTGTGGTTGTTGTCTTTTTGCTCGGCAATATTAAGTGACAATCATTGGTTGTGAACGCCATTGTCACCACCTTAAAATTTTGTATTATTCAGGATTACTCACACTACTTCTAACACCGCATTAGACCTGACAATAAAAAACAAAACAACAACCCTGAAATGTTACTTTATGATTGTTTACTGTCGTTCAATCAAATTAACTGACCATCTTGGCGATAAACATTCTTAAATATCATTTCATAACTATAGCTTTACTGTCACCATGCATAATCATATCATAGCTTCCACTACCCAATACTGAGTTATTATTATATGCTGTTTATTGTTCCTTTCTACTTCTTGGTATTTTTTCGCATTTATTTAAAAATTATTTTTGTTTTTTTGTTGTTGTTGTCTTTATATTTATTTTTGGAAATACTCCTTTTAAATGTTTGATAAAATTAGATGCAAATATTGTAGATATGTGCTGGAAATTCCACACTGTACCACTAGTACTGTTTCTGGAATAGAGCAAATTATTATTATTATTATTCAAGGACGAAGCAGGCACAGAAATTGAAGTCACCAGTGACTATTGATAGAGAATTCTCCACACATATAGTAAGCATTGAAACCATTGAAAAGCGTTTATTTCAAACTGTAGATAAACTCCACTATGTGTGGGTGTGTTCAGAATAATCTAGAGGAAAGGATTTCTCATAAAAACGAAGTGTAAAGAAGGTGAGTGGCGAAGTGTGAACGCTCCAATGACCTTGAACGCATGCTAGTCGTTGGCTAACGGCATCTGTTATAATCATAACTGAAATACCAACTCTATTCACCAACTAAGAAGCAAATTTCACCCAGATCACATTTTTAAGTACTGTTTGGACAGTGTGTTAATAGCTCGTTAGGGTTAGGATTAGGGTTAAGGTAAGTATTGGGGTTAGGGTGAGGATCATGGTCACAGTTGTTGTAATTTATTTGTTTTACTATCCACATTTTCCTGGTAAGTGGTCATCGATCCCGTTACTGCAAACCATAGTAATTCAACCGAGGGCTTTAAGGGAAGATTGTACATGAGGATAAGAAAGATAAACGGTTCACAAAAGCAACTCATCTCCAGCCACATCGGTGAATACATGTAGAGAAACTAGTGTAACTTAGCAGCTGATACTCCTCATTATAATTAGGACCTACTTTTAAGTCATGTTTTTTTACTGTGTTCTCATGCTTTTTCTTGTAAATGAACAAATATAATTCTTAGAAACCAAACTATTGAAAATTAATCTGCTGCTCGCTAGTGACTTGCTACGGAACAGAGTTTCCTGGAGTTCTAGTGGTAAGTTGTGACCAGTGAGATCCATTCAGTCAAGTGTGAGGATAGAGTTCCCACCAATGACATTGGTTGATGGTTGCGCTAAATCACGAATTAGTAGAAGTTAGAATTCATGGGCTGGCCATTAGATCGGATCCCAATGGCTGAATGGTATACGAGCTCGCTGGCCTTGTAACCGGAAGGTCCTGGTTTCGAACGTTGGCAGCGGGTGCGTACTGCCAATGATTCCCAAACTAGGATGAAACAGTTGTCCAGTACTCCTATACTGGTTTTCAATGGTTCTCTAACTGTTATCAATACGTAGTCAAATATACGTCAGTTCTTGTGCAAACATTCCTCATTTTTATGATTGGTCGGCTCAAGGTCGCTCATGTGTTCGCATCCTTGGGCCGCTATTGTTGAACTTTGCCAGATGAGTTATATGTTTCTTTAAGAATTGAAAACATCTATTTCCCGATACGAATTTAAAACAAGCAATAAAGGTTAATAAAGCAAAATTTGATGAATTCATCAAATTTCCGTAGAACTCGTCAGCTGCTGAATACTCTACATACACGGATATATACTTTTGAAATTACATTAGGAGATATAAGACTGATAAGTAAACATACTACATTGAATTAGTCATGCTGAAAGACAGGTGCGAATGTTTTGCAGGTCATGCTCAAATAGATCAGGGGAGAGAGAGTATGAGAGATCAAAATTAAGATAAATTGCACTACTCTTCAATTACATCACTTAGATAAACAATTAGACATTAGAGAATATAACAAGACTTGCAAACAGAGTAATATCAGTAGTAATAATTATAATAACAATAACAATGATAATAATGTTAAAGTGAGTTTAAATAATGCTACTGATAAAGGACAGTTTTAAATAAATCAAGAATAATAATAAGATGTAGAATAATAAGTAAAACGTATTACCATGGTAGATTCAGAGTCACAACCATCTCCTTTTGTATACAGAGACCTGGTTTATATACCCGAATTGCACAAGTCTCTGCGATTGCAAACATCTTGTTTCTTTGTCTGCTGACAATAACAGTGAATGACTTGACCGCGTCGATATCATGTCCGTAATCCACAAGATGTTTTGTTATTGAGGATTTTGGCACTTTGCACTCAACTGTTTTCAACCATTTTGGCAAATGCTTCATCATGCTAGTAGACAATCGCCTTTCCGGGAAGGCGTCTTTTTGCATGACTAATTCAATGTATAAGATTTGATAGTGTGGAAAATTCCCATATTATGAATTAAAAGTCAATCTGAACGAAGAATATTTTTTTCAGAAATTTCTCTTCAGGTTCTTATAATTATAAAATATAATATCATATCGATGTCAACACAACTTTCAGGGTTATATACCGAATTCCGAAGTCGTTATCATGTACAGTTCGCTTCTACACATAGCTGAAGCTGTTGCAATAAGATCGACTAAACCGGAACTTTGTATCCAAAAAGAACACGTCCAGACGCTGTTCCTACCGTGGCCAAACTTGGATTGATGATTCTTCTTCTCACCAAGAGTGCTCCTTCCCTTTAAACCTCTCGGCTCTTTTTTTCCTTTGCTTATAATTACAAATATTATTATTATTCGTCATAATTTATGCCCTACATGCAAACATTATCTCAATACTATCGAATTTTTCGTTTATAGTATCCGGACTTATTATTAGTAATATTATCTCTTTTCTCAATATATGCCTCCACCTGTTTCATTTCACATATTCGTTATTTCATTATGAACCTTTCATTGTGCGTCGGGCACACAGTAGTTAGGACTCTCGCCGACCATGCACATGGTCCGGGGTTCGATCCCCTGCCGACGCACACCCGATATCTATGGTCGGCCTGTAAATTTGGGCTACCGATATCCATACTGAAAATTCCATACTTGTACTGAAAATACGATGTGGCATCAAGCTGTAATAAAAATAAAATAAAAAAATAAATAATAATAATTGCAGTCATACTATCCTGTTTAACACAGACCACTTTGTACTAGCCACTCACTCACTTGACACCTTTTATAACCCTGAACTGACTTGTCAATTTTCCTACCCCACACTCTACAAATCTATTATGACTAATCACCACCGTTGTCTCCCACTTTACAATATTTTGTAATCGAATTCAGCCTAGCACGTTTGTCACACAAATACGACTATTTATTTTGACACCCCATAACTAATCTGTTATTCTACGTTAAAAATGTATCTGCCGCATAACTGGCCTTTATTATAACGACAACAAATATTATAATATTTTATAATTGTAAGAACCTGAAGAGAAATTGTTGAAAAAGAATATTCTTCGTTCAGATTGACTTTTAAATCAATGTAGTTTGTTTACTTATCAGTCTTATATCTCCCAATGTAATTCCAAAAGTATGTTTATATATCCGTGTATGTAGAGTATTCAGCAGTTGACGAGTTCTACCGAAATTTGATGAATTCATTAAATCATCCTGCTTTATTAACCCTTATTGCTTGAGTTATATGTGTAGAAACTTGACCACTGTGATAGTATATAATTCCATATTAATTTATATATATATATATATATATATATATATATATATATAATACACACTGAAGCTGTTTCACTGCGTGATAATATCCAATAAACAAAATAAACTAGTATGAAATTAAAGATGAATTCATTTTCACATAATGAGTCAACTCTGTTGATGACCTTGATCGATTTATTTTAAAAATACTACAGTCGATCGATACCAACTATTCATGGAATCACGAAAAGAAGGATACTTATTAAACTATTGCAGTGAAAAATAAAATATATATACAGAGGGAGAGAGAAACAGAGTTAAGTAAAAACAGCAAAGGAAAAAAGAAATTTAAAAAAAAATTATGTATAGATCATCTTATCAATCTGGTCTGTTATCTATTTTTTATAGTGTTGGACAAAAACCCTTATTAAATTGGGCAACATGTGCAAGATCCGGGACAATTCGACGTATCTCTGATTCAGATATACGCTCATTAGTATTAGATATACGTGGAACAAATGTTTCAACTACTTATATTGAATGTCCAAGTTGTCCAACAGAAACATTAGGCATACGTATGCCTATATTTGTATTATTATTTAAAAATATGGATAGATATTTTACCTTTGAAATAGAAATTCAAGATTATACTGGTGTTCATAGACGATTTCGTGCTAGTAATTTTACACGAACAACAACAATTAGACCATTCACTACTAAAATGCCATTAGTATTACATTCTGGTTGGAATACTGTTGTATTCGATTTACAAAGATTAACAGAATATTGTTATAAACAACGATTAATGGAAGTGAATCGTGTAAAAGTCAATGCAAATTGTCGTCTACGCAGAATATACTTTTGTGATCGACCGTATACAGATAAAGAATTGCCTAATGAGTATAAACTACAACTTCAAACACAAAACTAATGGAAACGCAAACAACAACAACAACAAACAAACAAACGAACAAAGAACGCGCCAAAATGGATGATAAATATTTCATTTAAACAATATCAAAAGAGGAAATTAATTACAATGAAAAAATAATAGTTTGTTTATATTTTGTATGTATTTATTTACGAAGTATTCCAGGTCTTTTCACCGCTTCTTTGCTTTTAAATTTATTAGTTTGACTTGCTAACTTTTTATAAAGTTTACTTCTGCGTTTCTCCTCTTCACCTTCCTACATTGAAAAAAACAAAAGAGAATCTATTGAATCTTGATCAAATCATACAGATCTACTGTTCAATTTCTCCTTGTGAACAGTGTTCATTATCAAAGAGATAATATATAATCTCAACGACATGTTTCCTTTGCCCAGATTTATATATCTATATACATTGAATGTGTATATAATATATATTCTATTTCCTTGAAAAATGCATATACATATAAACATGCCCGCAGAGATACTCAGTAGTCGAATTGTGGAATAATCGTATTACCATAGCAGTAATTGTCATTTCATTATACAAACATCAAAAAGTCGAATGTGATTGTTATTATTATTATTATTTTTATGAATGCTATGCATACCTTGCGTACGCAATAGGACATAGAGCCTCAGTGACACACCTTTGGTTCACAGTCATCACTTTCAACTGGTTCTACGACTGCCAACCTACAGGCTCTCATCTCCTCTTTATGCAACCTTCTCCATATCACCTTCGGGAATCCAACTCATCGAGGGCTTACCGTGTGATGTTATGAATGTGATTATATTTGGCATTATTACTATTGCTATACAATTCCCTTGAGTTCCGAATGGAACATAGAGCTTCAGAAGGACATCGCTATTTTGCTCTGTTCACTGGTGTTTTTGTAAGCCGGCTCCACTCCTTATTCCCCATTTAGCTGATACTCGAGTGTCTCGTGTGTGTTAATTCCACTCATAGGTCTCTCTTCAGCGTATGCCCACAATGTAACCTCATTTCCTTAAGTGAATATGTTGGGTAGGCGATAGTTTCTTGGTTGGTTTTTTTTTGGTTGACACACACAGTCTCTTGTTGCTAATCCTTCCTGGCCAACGGGTCTTCAGTATTTCAAGGGTGTCTCCTCAATAGGCTGTTGGAAATGCTTTCTATGATGTTTCAAGTCCCTGAACTACAACATACTGGAAGGACTAACTTGGAACTAGTGATGTCTGATCAGTAATGAATACTGAATCAAAATTTCAATTGCCAACTCCTTAGTAGCTCTACAAGATAGATGTCTTAAAGTTCTGTTGAAAAGTGAGCAATAATGAGGTTAGGCGTCGAGGGGAAATCAGTCGTCGAGGCTGTGAAGCTATATCGACTGAGATGGTTAGGACATGTGTTACGTATGCCTAGTTATCACCTTCCTCGACAATGGGCAATGTTAGTTGACATAGGGTCAGGCTGGAAAAGACCTAGCGGAGGTCAAACTAAAACATGGCCCCACCAGTCAATGAAATCTATAACAGTTAGTTTAAGCCACGCAGGAAGGTGTAGACTTCCTGACCAGTTGGGGTCCTCGGGACGGTAAACACCAATGGTTGGAAACAATTGGTGACATGGCTCAAAATCGTTCTCAATGGCAGTCGCAGATGCATCCACTCCTTATGACTTATAATACCCAATAAAACTATATTGTTCTTCGTTATTACTATTCCTTTGTCCCACACCTCTGCCTACTGTCTCTAATATACATTTCTCCTACTTTCTTCTCTTTCTTTGTGTGCTACAAGGAGTGGAGTGTGGCGACTTGAAGTGCTGCACATCGGTGCAAAGTTCTATGTCGAAAATAGACAAACAGACAGACTGTTGAAAAGTCGTGGCCTTTGGGGTTCACCATGTGTTAGGCAGATGTGACATTGGTTGGTGACAGCATTACAGAGTCGTTGATTCACACAAACCAGCGAATGTATGATCAATGGGTTGATCTCGTCACCTGAGTGTCCATAATTCCACTCCTGATTACGTCATGTGAGTTCACTGATGAAGGGTCCCAAACTAGGACGAAACACACGTGTAGTACTTTTTTGCTTTTAATAACTCTCTAACTGATAATGCTTGATCACGAGACTTATACATTGAAATCAACTTAAATCCCCACAAAACCCAAAATCTGGACATATACATATATATATTTAAATATTAGTTTCCTTTACTGATAACTATTGATCTATGAAATAAAAGTACACGAATAATAGCTACACATTACTAATAAAAAAATATATACCAGTTAGCCTTTCACCTTTACACTAATGATAATCTGGCTTATTTTTGATTGCACACTCGTCAGTAACTAGTGTAATGTGTCTAGTCCTATCTTCGGTGCAGACTGAATTCTATCAGTCTTGCTTGTAATGTGGCCACCATGCTAGGTAACGTCTCTGACTGCAGCACTGGATGACGCGAGTTCGAATCTCAGAAGGGACATCAGTTCCTTCGGGGTTGCAGATACGCTTTGCTGATGAGTGCCAACTAGCACGAAACCTAAGTCCAAGGCTTCCTCCCGATTGCTTACAACCACCTAATACCGATAATCTGGCTTAATTCAGTGCCTTCTTCCGCTAATAAGCCGATAGAATTAAGTTATGTGATGAAAAGGCGAAAGGGTAGAGTGACACGATAACATGAAAATTATGCAAAATAAGATCTGAAAACAACTGTGCCGAGTCACTCCACATATACTGAAAATCAAATGGCTAGAGAGAATAAGTCAAGAATTTATCACCTGAAAAATATATGTGAAGAGATGAGGATGAATTGGATATACGCTGAGATGAGACCTTCACATGACATCACATCTCAGACATTCAAGAGGGGAAGCAGGTTGGAAGACACCCCAGCTGATCGTTTGAAGGGTAAGTGAGTAGGAGATAATAGTTTGTCTTCAATCATGGAGCTAACTGGAGTTGATGACAGAAAACTGAGTGTAATGAAGATGTACGCCTGAAGCTTTATGTTTCATGTGACTGTTTCATGGTCACTGGAAGTGAAAAATCCGAAGAGGCTTGCTGTCGACGAAGTTAAACTTAAAGCAGCAGTAAGTCTGTCTGTTTTCGACATAGAACTTTGCACATATGTGCGGCACTTCAAGTCGCCACACTCTACTCCTTGTAGCACACAAAGCAAGAGAAGAAAGTAGGAGAAATGTATATTAGAGACAGTAAACAGAGGTGTGAGACAAAGGTATAGTAATAACGAAGAACAAAAGAGTTTAATTGGAAATCATAAGTCACAAGGAGTGGATGCATCTGCACCAGCCATTGAGAACGATTTTGAGCCATGTCACCAATTGTTTCCAACCATTGGTTTTTACCGTCCCGAGGACCCCAACCAGTCAGGAAGTCTACACCTTCCTACGTGGCCTAGACTGACTGTTGTGGATTTCATTGACTGGTGAGGCCTTGTTTTGGTTTGACCACCGCTACCTCTTTTCCAGCCTGACCCTATGTAAGCTAACATTGCCCATTGTCGAGGAAGGTGATAACTAGGCATACGTAACACATGTCCTAACCATCTCAGTCGATGTAGCTTCACAGCCTCGCCGACTGATTTCCCCTCCTTACCTAGCACTCGACGCCTAACGTCAATATTGTTCACCTTAATATACCACTTGACACGGGAGATAGAACGCAGACACCTATGATCAAAGACAGCCAGTCTTTTCATGTCCAGGCCAGGTCTCATAGCCATAAAGGAGGACGGAACGGACTGATGAGCAGTACACACGCCCTTCGGTCGATAGTCGGATATCAGCAGTAAGTACCAAGGAACAAATGACTTGGAATGCACCAACCATATGACAAAGGTGATTTATGCGTATGAAAAGAATGAATTTAAAGGACATAAAAAGGTTACACAGGGTACCTTTTTCTGACATGTAACAAAAATATTTCTCAGTTTTAGATTGGAGTATCAACAGAGTAATTTAACCGCATTCTAAGTCTTCTCACCGTAATCTTCCCTCAACCTAGTTTTCTATACCTATTCTTAGCCTAAACACCTTTACTTAATCATTCCCAAACCTAACCTGAAACTTACCAGAAAACCCATTTAATAATAACATAACACTTCATTAGGACAGGAGTAAGACAAGCTGGCTGCCTACTATCACCAATGATTTTCCTGATTGCAGTAAACTGGATAATGCGACAAACAGCGGGCAATGAGGAAACAGGCATAAAATGGACTCACACAAAAAACTTGGAGGATCTGGACTTCGCCGATGATATATGTCTGATTTCCCACAAACTGGCTGATACAGAAGTGAAAAGCAACAAGTTGACAGAAGAAGCATCAAAGATAGGACTTCAGATGAACATAGAGAAAACAGAGGTGGTGATGAAGATTCCTGGCCAACAGCAACAGCCACATCAACCACAACAGACAACAATCAGCATAAATGGAAGGAACCTGAAAGAAACAACCTCCTTTACCTAACTGTGAAGCATCGTTTCAACTACAGGCGGACGGAGCTGACGAGGATATCAAAGCAAGAATCGGAAAAGCAAGATAAGCTTCCACCACTCTCAAGTCTGTGTGGAGGTCAACAGCACTCATGATGAGAAATAAGATCCGGATTTCCAATTCCAATGTGAAGTCACTGCTACTCACTATACGGATCAGAGACTTGCACTGCGCGTCATAAAGAGCATCTCAAGCAAACTACAGACCTTCATTAACAGTTGTCTTCGCTCAATACTCAAGATCAGATGGCCAGCCAGAAAAGATCAGCAACAGAGACCTCTGGCGATGAAAGAACCAACCAGGAACCGATTGTGAAACAACAAATAGGCAGGAAGAAATGGAGATGGATTGGCCATACTCTGAGGAAACAATGCATCAAGTGACATCACTAGAATAACCCTCGAGTGGAACCCGAAATGGATGTGGCGAGTTGGTCGTCAGTGCAAGGGTGACTTGAAGGAGGTCATGTGAAGAGGAGATGAAAACGTG